TCTCCGGTAATCGGATAGTCAGTGGTTCAGATGACAATACACTCAAAGTATGGTCCGCTGTTACAGGCAAGGTAAATTGTAAATGCGTAATGATATGATATTTAATTGTTAGCAACAAGAGAGGAGATTATATATCCTATGTTTTTCACAATATTTCAGTGTTTACGGACATTGGTTGGGCATACTGGGGGTGTGTGGTCTTCGCAGATGTCTGGCACAATTGTTATCAGTGGCAGTACAGATCGTACTTTGAAAGTGTGGAACGCAGAGACTGGTCAGTGTATTTATACATTGTACGGTCATACGTCAACAGTTAGGTGTATGCATCTGCATGGTAACAAGGTCGTCAGTGGTAGTAGAGACGCGACACTAAGGGTGTGGCAGGTGGACACAGGGGAGTGCTTACATGTGCTCGTGGGGCATCTAGCGGCGGTTAGATGTGTGCAATATGACGGAAAGTTGGTGGTCAGTGGTGCCTACGACTATATGGTCAAAGTTTGGAATCCGGAACGTGAGGAGTGCCTTCATACCTTACAAGGACATACTAACCGTGTTTATTCCCTCCAGGTAAGTGCATTATATGTATTACTCTTAGATTTGCTTTTCATCTCTTTCGGGATTGACAAATGTCCGTTTGCCGTTTCCTTCCTGTTAGTTCGATGGTGTGCACGTTGTTAGCGGATCATTGGACACGAGTATAAGAGTGTGGGAGGTAGAAACAGGTGCTTGTAGACATACTCTAATGGGCCATCAATCTCTTACCTCGGGGATGGAGTTGCGCAATAATATCTTAGTGTCAGGCAATGCTGATTCTACCGTTAAAGTGTGGGATATTGTTAGCGGTCACTGCCTTCAAACTCTCTCCGGTCCGAACAAACATCAATCGGCGGTTACTTGCCTTCAGTTCAATAGCCATTTTGTGATTACGTCCTCTGACGATGGTACAGTAAAACTCTGGGATGTTAAGACTGGTTTGTATTTTTTTATTCACTCTTTATTTTCAATTAGAATCAATTGTTAAGAACAACATATGTTCACATTGTGTTCGCAGGTGATTTCATTAGGAATCTAGTTGCTCTGGAAAGTGGTGGTAGCGGCGGTGTTGTGTGGAGGATTCGAGCGAGTGATACGAAACTAGTGTGTGCAGTAGGTAGTCGTAATGGTACCGAGGAGACAAAACTGCTTGTTCTCGATTTCGACGTTGAGGTAAAATAGTGAGCTCCACCACTTGGATCCAATCGCCCCCTTTGTACGACTTCTGTACATATTTTCAATTAAGTAGTCTAAAAACTAATCCACGCTGTACAATGATTTATGTATTACATGGTGTGATTGTGATAAGACTGTACGCGACATAAAATTGGGCAAAGTTTTTGCAGGAGTGGGAGGGAAGGAAAAAAGAAGGCAATAAGAAAGTTTATCTTCAGATCAAAGTGCTCGTTGAGAAAATTATAATTATGTCGGTTTGCCGGAGCGCTCGCGCATTGTTGTGGTGTACAAACGTAAGATTTATAAAAGACTCGTGAACTTATTGGGAGGGAGGGAGGGGGGAGGGGGAACGAGGAGCTTATCAGTGTATTTCTGAATTTTCGCTGTTATAACGATTCAGTAGAATCATCGACGATGCAAAAGTAGTAAACATCCCTAACGAGATTCATAACTATAACAAGTTTATTATGTGGGCATTTAGGAGCATTTATCAACGATGGCAGACGAAATCGAGGCGACTGAGACATACTGAAACTGCAAGGCAAAATGACATTAATCGAAGAATCTCATACCTCCTGGAGCAAGAAAACTATCGACGACAATTCACGTCTTTCGGAGAGATCATACAGATCTTTTTACGAGAAATTTCAAACATTTGTTATATATTGCAACATTAATTTTGTCAAACTGTCAGCTTCGATATTTCCTGATCATGTAATTTAGACTTTATTTTCTTATAAACATCGATCTGGTTAAAAACAAATATTTTTATAAATTTTTTTGTTTACAAGCTAATTTATGATTGACATTTATTGGAAGAAAATGATCTTTCGGCAATTGAAGTAAAAAGATAAAAAAAATTCGTTGAATAATTTTCTCTTTTTGCAATTGAAAAGCTGCTTCTTCCAATATTACATGTTTCACTTCGTCATAGTGCAATGTACAGATATAGTGCACTTGTTCGTGTGCAATACAGATTTACAAAACAGTGAACCAGTACAAGCTTATACAGAACAGGATGGTACTTTTTTAAATCTTTGTTTTTGTTGATTAAAATGTTTAAAACATTCATCAATATTAGACTTGTTAAAGGAAGAATATTTGTATTAGCCAGATCTTTACATTTAATGTGAATTGTATAATGAAGACTTATAAAAACATTGCATCATTTGTCATTGACGAATTTTATATGGATTCTACTGAATCATGTCATGAATATGAACGACATTATCAGATAATACAATTTGTGCAAATGCATCTTTATTATTGGACCTAGGTTAGACTAGGTGTCGTGTTTATTTGTATATTGCTCAATAGTTTATATTATAAGAATGTGTTACCTGTTGTATCATTTTTTATAAGAAATAGAAAAAAGATGTTGCTGATATTTTAGATTTTGTTTTTTTTTTTTAAATTTATTACAACTGTACACATGTTCTTGTGCTAAAAAACATATTTTGTACAAAATAAATGTTCGATTTCGACCTCTTTCTATATATTGTGAGTATTATCTTGTCATACTATATAATGAAGAGAAAGCGCATTTTATTTTATCATCTTGCATAAATAATGTTCAGTCACATTTTACAGGCTTCTTTAAAAAAAAGTAGAAAAGGTGTCGTCAAAGGTTGTATTTTATTGCATAAACTAATGCTCAGTATGCTATGTTTCAACAATGATAATAAGCGTACAACCGTCGCACATCACTTGGAGCACAGTGTTTTTTTTCCGAAGAGCTTGGCGTTCAATGAAGTAATTTTCGCCGCACCTGCAGCGATAAAACAATGTATCCTCAAGAGCAGATTCTTCAAGTTCGTGCGGTGTGAGACGCGCGTATACAGGACTGTCTTGTTCCTCTAACTGTTCCTGTTTGCAGGCTGCATCATACTTTTTCCTGCATTGTGGATGTCCGAGCACTCGCCAGGCTTCTTTGACATCATGAAACTCTTGGATATCCACGGCATCATTCTTATCGGGATGAAACTGTAATAAGCGTCGATGATAAGCATGCTTAATCTCCTCCTGAGTGGAGTCCTTATTGCAGCCGAGCACTTTGTAGTAATTTAATCGCATTTTCATAAAGTTCTAAACCGGAATACTACTCTTCTTTGTGGCTACCTATATGTGGCTGTTCACATGTCTACAATTAATCTGTTCAATTAATTCCTCAAGCGTTGTGAGCGTTAAATAAAACGTAGTCATGATTGCATATTATTGCATTCAGTGGACTCAATAGTTAACACTGAACGCTCACTGCTATTGGTTTATTTTTCTACATCTAAAAGTCTTATGATCGGTTGTTCAATCTTTTAGTAAATTTTACCAATTTTTTTTATTGTGAGGTAAATTTGGTAATCCACGCATGTGATTGGATAATTTTGCTACTTACCAACCCACAGGTAAAATTTGCCAAAAAATGGAACAATCGGTTCTTAAACCCGATGTCCACGATGCTAAAAATCTGCCCGAGATCTCGAACAGAGAAAAAATTAACAAATCACATTTGATCACATTGCGATTGGTTAATTCTTTCTTCATCCGAAGTCTCAATCTTTAGTATCATGGATACAAGGCTTTAGACCCGGTTGCATCAACGTTACTTTGACTTTAAGTGAGACTTAAAGTCTTCTATTTATCTCGTTTTAAAGAAAAAGAGACAGAGAGTTTTAAGCCTTGCTTAAAATCAAAGTAACATTGATGAAACTGGGCCTTATTAGAAAAATACATCCATACATCAATAACAAGATCATTCAACTGACTTAATTATAGGGCGAGTTCAAGTCGACAAAGCAGTTAGGTCTGCTCGCCGAGCAATTAAAATAATGGGCGCGTTCAAGTTGACAAAGAGGTTAGCCTGCTTGCCCAGCAAATGAACATAATTGATTGTTTTTTATAGGTCCAACCAATCATATTCAATCACTCTGTAAGCATGCCTAGTCGCTTTGCCATCTTGAACTCGCCCAACGATTGGTTGGATCTACCAAGAACTTATGTTCATTCGCTCAGCAAGCAGACCTAATCTTTTTGCAGATTTGAACTCGTCTATTGAGTTCACTGAATATGCTCAATAAAAGTATATCCACATAAACTTGCATAGCCGCATAAATGTATAAAAAAAATTATCCAATCACATTTCTCTTACAAAGTTGCACATAAAATGTGACTGGATAATTTTCTTTATGCATATGTTTATACAGCTATGTAAGTTCTGTGAATATACTATATAAGGTGTTTCACTTCCGAGATGCATAGTGTTGACCAATCAGACCACACAATTAAGATCCAAATACGTCGATGAATCTGTCGTGTTGCATGCACTTTTTGCATTCAGTATTCTTCACTTTCTTTTTAATGTCTGAATACTTATATATTTATCTCGTGTAGATGCAAAAGTTTTAGGGATTTCAAATAACGCGAACAAACCTGATTATAAAGCAAGTAACTAGCGATTCAATTGCTAGGGAAATCATAGTTTAAAATACACAATGCGCATGATCGTAGGCTTATACCGCGATTTATAAAGTTCTTCAAATACACACACACACACACACACACACACACACACACACACACACACACACGCGCGCAATAGCGATTAATCAAATCCGTACAGTATTTATAAAATTAATTTTGATTTAGACACTAAATTAAATTTGATTTATTGCCTGAGAAGTTTGATAGATATTGCAGGATATAATTTTTGGAGGATTAAAATTAAGAGATACTTGTTTATATCGTTAAAATTAAGAATCGGTAAAGATATTTTATTAATTCACAACGACGTCAGACTTTTCATCCGCTTGTCACGGACAGATCTTGATTGCACTCGCGGACAATAACGAAAGAGAAAGAGACGAACAACAAGACAAATGTACTTTCACAGTTATTTTTACATTCAATCGTCTAGATTCAATGATTGCGATAAACATTAAAACCTGAAAATTGCCAACGTCTCTCCATATTTGCACCGATGCCGAACAATTCTTGTTTGAAGACCTGTGGAAAACGTTGCATTAAAACTTCAACTTCACTTGGTTTAATGCCGGGCTCCATTTTCTGCAGATAGGACCACAAATAATCCACGCTTGCACCAAACGGATGGATATGCAGAAATGTCGCTATAAGTCCTGCAATATATGTTATATATTAGCAAAGTTACAACTGACATTGTTTTAAAATCATTTTCTAATTGTTTCCAAAATTTTTATATTACCAATAAGTTTAGCATCCTTCTGGGTGACTTGCACAAAATTAGAGGTGATAATATGTTGCTTCGGTGTGCGTGGCTCCTCGCTAATATCGTCATCCTTGTCAAGTGTAATAATTTCACTTTCTCTAGGCTCTTCCTTCTTTGTGGCATTCAGCTTGACGGTCAAGTCCTTGATCTTCTGATCGTCCTGCACTTGCTGCTTATGTGACTGCATCAATTGTTCTTGCATACCTTTCAGTGTTTGCTGCAGCATCTTCATTTGTTTCTCCTTTCCTTCTATCTCAGCTTTTGTTTCCGATTTCAAAAGATCGACCTATAAAGATTTGTAATTAGAAACTTTTCGAAAACTCTCCCGATGTTAACAAATCGATTCGCATTAATACACACTTCATTCTTGTACGCTTCCAACTGGCATCTCAGACTGTCATTTTCTTCTTTGAGACTCTGCAGTCTCTCGATGTCCTCTTGGTTACCATCCAATTGATTGCGTGTTTTCTTACGTTGAGGTTCCTCCTCTGAATCCGATACATCCATCTCACCTTCGCCTTCAATTAGACTATCTTCTAGCTGTACCGCTTTTATTTCCTGTATTACGAATAACAAAACTTATAAAATGCTCCAAATCATGACCATTGTTTTTTCACACAAATGCATGCAAAGTATGTAATTTCCTATCTGCTGTTCAAACAATGGTATTTAAATACATCCCTAAACGTGGCTGGTTCTATTGTTTTTTCTTTTTTTTTTTATTAAGTACTTTTTATACAATATTGATTTTTTTAAATGTAGTTTCGTACATTTCTGTAATTCAGAGTTTAGGCGCGATACCGCATACGATTTTGTCTCAGTTTTCATTACAGAAGTGTTTCAGGACTTTGCTCGCCTTTTCAGAATGATTTGGGCTTACCTGATTGTAAGAAGCAGATGCAGCTCTGAAGTACAGAAATAACAAGTATTGTATATCGAGTGAACGCTGTTCGAAAAAAGTAAGGCAAATCCATGCTGGATAGTCTGTTGTTGCTTTTCGATCCGAAAGTGCTAATCTCGTATTACCTTCTGTTCCATATGTTGTTCTTAATGTTGTGCGTGTTGCCGACAGGATTTATCTGCCATACTGTCACGGCATTCCACGATAAAGTATCGAATTATAACGCACGAAGAGAAGCGTGTGTCTGACCGATTTCTTTTTTTTTTTTTTATAGCAGGCGACTCGATTCTTTTCTCAATTGTCACTTACCTGTGATATCTTAAAAATACAATTTGCAAAACAACCGTGGAGATATCGTGCAAACGCGCAGAGGAGCATATTGCGACAGAGAAGATTCTGAGATTATTTTAAGTTACGCAAGAGAAAGAGGAAGTATACAGAAGACACGCTACTAGCATGTGAGAGTGCGTTACATACATACCGAGGATTGTTTCTTCCACATTTCGATGTTCTTCCTCTGCGCCTTAGTGAAGTGATCCCAGACTTTCTTGTGGCTGGCCGCAGTAAAGACTCGTTCGATCTGACTGACTGTTGATGACATGTGGTCGCATGTTGCATACAAAAAAACACAACAAATCCTCCGTTGTATACCTTTTGCTTGAAACTCTAAGCTCGGTAGTTTCGTCTATGCTTTTAGTAATACTCATTATGCATACTCGTTATATTAAACGTAGTTTAGTTATATCATGATATTCTTCGACGGGAACGATCCCTCCTTTAATAATCGGAGCGTGTTTTTCGTACATATGTACAGCTACGGAGTCTCACGGAGTCTCACGTAGATTGTGCCGAGTGTTGGAGCGCATCTAATCTAACGTAAAGTTGATTTCACCAAACATTCCGCTCTCATTGTTCGCCTTTCCACCATACTGCGGATAATGTAATTCCGAAGACTTGCAATTCGCGGACTTCCTATGTTAAAGACTATTTTGAACAACAACGAATATCTCGCGCGTTATTAAACGTTCGTATGATACATTACATTACATATACATGAACACTTGATAAAACACTTGATACATGTGTAAAAGTCTCAATTTGCAGTTCAAAATAATCTTTCAACAATGGATGCCCAGCCCATCACCCTTATTCCTTAGCATTGCCAAGCATGCAACTTTCAAGTACACTATGACTCTATAAGATAGAATTTGCGATAAATCGGCTTCGTTCGTTGGTTTTGTTGGTTTCCTAAGTCCGAGAAGATAGGATTTTTTCACCCACCTTATCCTCGCCTACTATCTCTGATCCTTCCTACCGAGTTGCCTCCAATTGTGCATTGACCACAAATAGAATTCATTCAATTCGCCATGATACACTTGAGAGATTGCTAAAATTAGTGACGAGACAGAGAAATACTTCGTCGTAAGTATTAAGAATAGGTTTTACATCAAGCGTATCACTTGATATGCAAAAGCCGATTTTCAGAATATCATACGTTGAGATCGACAAGCTTAACATTCGATTTAATTTTGTACCTGATTATAATTCGGTTGTTGTACCTTAATGTCACGAATCATTTTTCTTAATTATCACGTAACGATGTAACATACCTTCGTAACTGGTTTAAGAAAAATCTCTGCTTTTTATCGGAAATACGTGGTACAAGAATTCGTCATACACACAGTGTGAAGAATGCAATGAATACCGCTGTTGTTACTTTGAGATTACGAACGAAATAATCACGATTTTTGTTGCGTTTACTATATCCAAATAAGGATTTCCTTCTATTGGTTGTTGGATCTCTTTATGCCAGAATTAACTTACCAGCCAATGCGGATTTTCTTAGCGCACACAAAATATGTACGATAATACGGAGCTATCTTAAAAATAGAAAAATAAGAAAACATATAAACATACATTGTATGAGAAGTCCTTGCATTCTTCCTTTCATTAATTCTTTGGCTTTTTGCAGCTCCTCCTCGTAAACAGCTTTCTCCGTTAGGAGTCGTCGCACATGAGAGTTTGTTGATTGTATCATGGAGTAGAAGATATTGGCGTTACGTTTGATGCAATCTCCTCGTTCTAACCATGTTACAACAATCTACAACAACACGTTCAGATCATGAAAATACAGAGATGTTACTTGATGTAACTAGAAACTGGAAATTGAAATATGTATTAGAATGTTCATTAAAATGACTACTCACTTGTACTGCTTTCATAAACGTATCATCTTGCTTAATTTTTTCGCAGATATTCGATGCCTCATGATCCGTATAATGTACTACTGGAGGCGGACTCGATGGTGGTCTTTGTCTCTCCTTTTCTACTCTTTCTCTATGACGTTGCTCCCTTTGTAACTGTCGTTGTCTGCATTCCCATTCATATTGGTCATCTCTAGCCTAAAATCATTATTAATGATTGTATATAAGTAGAATTTAATTATGAAATTATACATTTTTGGGTAAACAATTTCTAGCAAGTAACAAACCTGAGCAAAATCTACATGAAGTCTACCGGTATTTGCAGGTTCTCCACTCGATCCTATTCTTACTCTATAACCTGATAAATAAATTGCTGCATCAACACTAGCTTCTAAAACAAAGCGTATATGACAAAAGTTCTTCTTAGAAAGACGCAAAGTAGTTATCTCTCCACATCGTTCAAATATTTCCTGTATTATAGCTTCAGTAATGTTTTCCGGCAACCCTGTAGGTAGTATGATTAGTAGTAAAGATTTTCAAGTAATTTATTATTCAATGTGCAATGCTTACCTCCCACAAAAATTGTCCTACATCCTGGTGGTCTCTCTCGCGTGGTAGGTGGTGGAGCATTCGGATTTGGTGGAAACAATACACAACTTTTACAATGTATGATTTCTTTGGTACCCTGAGGCGTCATCGGTGGCGGTGGTAAGCTCGCGGTCATTATTTGCGCTGCATCTGTCATAATTTGCTCAGCACCCAATATCTGAGCACCTATCATACTGCCATCGTGTGACATCATACCCATGCCCATTGGATTGTAACCGTGCGTATGACTCATATGTGGACCCAATGCCATCTCACCCATCATGGGTGCCATTGGACCCATGGGACCCATACCCATCATAGGATAACCCACTCCCATTCCCCAAACACCTGTAGCAGGTTCCATCTGCGTGCCTATGCTCGGTGCGTTATTTGTATTTGTCGACGACAAAACTTCGTTGTTGTTGTTGTTGTTGTTAGAATTATTCGCATGATTGTTATTATTCTTTGAAGAATTTGAGTTATTTCTTTCTTCGGTTCTTCGATCGTCCCTTCGATCTCGGTCGCTTCTCTCCTCCCTCCTGTCACGATCCCTGTCGCGTCTGTCGCTGCGTTCTCCTCTTGATCTTTTGCAAACATAATGAACAAGTTATAACTTTTAAGATTTTAAGCAGATAAATTATATAAGACTGTAATATGTTATTATTCATGCAACTTGTCATATTTCCCATATAATTTGACAGAACAAACAAAAATAGAGTATCACCTTCTGTTGTTATCTCGGACTTCACGGCTATCCCTGTTCTCTCGATCTCTTCTATTGTCATTTTTGTCGCTTCTTCTATCATTGCTATCATCCGATGTTTCTCGCACTACCGGAGGCTGATTCTTATTCGTACTAAATTCCAGGGGCGAATCGTTCATGCCAGGTAGTGGTATGGGTGGTGGTGGTAACGGTGGAAAACCTTGACCCGCTAGTTCCATAAAGCTCTGTGGTCCTGCTATTGGACCCAGCGGACCTATTGGTCCCATGCCTGTAAATTGTATATCAATGAAACAAACGGCATCAGGGTGACAGATTTGGATGGAATCGATTTGAAGGAAGGCAAATGGAGTAATGATTAATAAGGGAATCGGTTATCGCTCACCCATGGGTGGCATAGCGGTTGCTGGTACTCCAGGAAAGTTATAAGCCATTTCTCGTAAGATGATCTTCGACTTCTATCCACAGAAGGCGAGAAGCAACGGAAGTAAATACGCCGCTCTGAAATATTCTGCTTTATTCCGCTTGTTGTCGAAAGTCGCGGAGATGGCGGCGATGAATATACAGAGTGGCTACTATCGAATAGTGATTATGCGGCGCGGGAATGATAGTACATGCGAGTACGACAGATGACACTGCTTGGTCGCGTCGCCCAATATATCATATTTGTTTTATTTTTAAATATGTGATACAGAAGACGATATCAATTATTTTAACTACTTTACATTCTCATGTTTCTTTCGAAATAAAAATATGCAGCCGCATAATTGTAATTGTAAAGAGGAGCATCACTGCAGTCACATGCTATTCAGGCTGCTCCGTTTGGTTGCCATTTAGCAACGGCCGGTGTGTAAACATAGATGGCTGCTCCGAACGTCAAATTTTGTCAAGCATTCTAGTGACGTTTTCTCGTATGATTCACCATATGCCCAAGGATATTTACCTTTTGCATTTTACATGAAGTACAGTAATGATTAGCGCGCTTTGTCTGGGGTACGTATTTCTGTTTTATCCTTACAATCGCGACGTTTATATTTTAAGTAAATGTAATATGTAGTATAATGTTTGTTTACTAAGTAAATCCGCAAAAACAACGCAGAAGTGAAAACAATACACGCACAATGATAATAATAATAATTTGAAATAAAATCAGAAAAATCATAATTTCATTAAACTTATTTAATTATGGCTCGATATGATGATTGTTCTATTAGATTTTAGCCATCATGATACATTTATAGTAACAGTTCAAAATTATAAGTTATACATATCTTTTCTTTTATAATTTTATATATATATATGCACGTCTCTTTTATCTGATATATAGAAAAATTATATATAGTGCTGTATTCATATTTCCCAAGGCTTGATAAATATATATATTTTCCTATATTATACATATACTATTGATATAGTTTTAATTTTATATATTTTTTTTTAATCTGATGGAAATACAAACTTAAAATTTCCTTAAAAGAGGAAAAAAGAAAATATATGATATTAAATATATCATCAAGTATAAATCATAAATATTAGTTATTAAAACAAATTGTTAACAGATTGTTTTACGTAAGTTAATAATCAATTTTTCACAGAGAAAATATCCTGGGTCATACAAAATTAATTTATATGCAATATGAGAGAATTTTTTAGACTCGAGAGTATAAAGTGTTATATCACTTTATTTAATCAATCATAACATTCAATAATACATAATTTAACTGATAAATGTATTTTGTGTTTAAATTTTTACATAAGGACATGCGTTTTGTTATTACGATACACTCGATTGTAGGTAATACCTAGTTTTCAATATCGTAGGCAACTATGTCGTGTAGAGTTTTGACAAGATTCGAAACATCTCAACGCCCCATTTTGTAATTTACATACGTAATACAAACAACGATTCCAAGTAGCATATGTGCGATTGTATTTACATGAGTAACTTTGTTATCGCGCCTCACATTCTAACAAGTAATTCAATTAACATATTTTATGCATATGTACTTTTATTTAACCACTCTTAAGTATCAATGGCAAGAATTTGCAATTTTCTTTTTTTTTCCCCTTTTAAGAGCTGTACTGTGATTAAAAAGATGATGCCTTGAATTACGATGTAACTTACAAAGTATGAATAATATTACACACACGTTTCGAATCCTATTGTATTAAGAGTCAAATGATGGTGCGCATCGTCGCATTCATTCATCCAAATAACATATGTACATAGTATATTCCCCGAGACCCAATCTCCATACCCACCCCATTCCCCAACGTAAAGTGAACAGATGATTAAGGCTCCAGCAGGCTATAGGCTACATTCTACAATGTACAATATATTATGTACTTTGTTAGTTTTCCGTTTTCGCGTACAATGTCTGGCTGTGTAATGTGTAGTAAGCGATAGCACCAAGAGATTTCCCGCTTCTGCTTTCGAACTCGAATGACTCTTTCGTGACTGCTACACCTAGTGTGATTTAATTTAGAAACCAAGTTGCGCAATAATTAACATTTATTTCATTCAGTAGTTCATTAAAACTTTGCAACGTATCAAGTATGTAATAGACATACTTATTATAAAACAATACATTTTAACAAAAATGTATATAGACTTATACCTTTATGAAATGTAAAGTTGGATAAAAATAGTAGGCCTTGCCCACCAATATCTGTTAAGAGTTATGTTTCCTTGTTTCTCGTACTTTGTGTATTGAATGCGGTAATGAACACTTAACGGTGTTCGGTACCGGGTTGACAAATCATGGATAGACACATCTAATGTCTTCGTATTACATTTGATATATTATGCAT